TTGATGTGTGGCGCTGAATCGCTCTGTTTAAAAACGCTTTACTTCCATTCTTTCAGGGAGGAATCGCCTTTGTGGCCATCAAAGGGGCGTTCAAGGTCTACTTCAAACAGCAGCAGTACATGAGACAAGCCCACCGCAGGATCCTTAACTTCCCCCCCGAGCAGGAGGAGGCCTGAGGAGGCTCCGAGGAGGATCTGAGGACAGCCGGGTGGAGCGGGGAGTAAAAAGAAAAAAAACTGTCAGACTGTGAACAGGAAGTGCTGATAAAACATTTAGCATCAGTGTCACCCTTTATCTCCCTCACACCTTTCACCCCTTCTGGACTGACTCCTCCACAACAACATGGCACCTTTTTATAAACCTCCATGAGCTGAAGCCCGACTGGAGCACGATAACACACACGCACACTCACACACCTGTGGTGGATGTGCTTAAACAATCACATGACTAACCCTTATTGTGAACTTACTGTATTTTAAAGGAGGAGTGCGGGGCATGTGTAATTAGGTTTTATAATATCAATAATAAATAATCATTGTTTTATAAAGGTTTATTTTGCAGATTTGAAGCCCTGCCTTCGCCAATGTTTGCGTTTCTATCGAGCAAGGAGCGATGTTCAGTGTGGAATGTATTAAAGATGAATGAATAAATCGTGTTTAACCATCGTGACTCAACACAACACACAGACGGAAAGTGAACGAGGAGCTTTGTTTGAACTATTTATTTAAATGTATCTGCAGTGCTCACGTCGTCTGTCTGCAGCTTTATCCCTTGTTTTGTTTTTTTTGAACACTTTTATTTGATGTTTAAACCTCAGCCACCATCACATCAAGAACCTGTTGCCGGGAGACCGTCTCCTCCAGACGGACAACATGGAGGCTTCTTTCCTCACGAGGTCGACTTCAGCACTTTTCAGAGGGGAAACAAAGATTCAGTGATGATGGTACTTGTGTGTGCAACCTGAGGTCTTTATCATGATGCAGACTGCAGGGACACTCAACAGAGGAAGTGACAATGTGGAAAGAACTGTGTGAAAACATGAAGTGTCGGTCAGCCAGATGAACCGTGTTTCACTGACTTCATACTGATGTGATCCAGCAGCGTGGACGACTCATATCCACGTGGACGACACTTTTCTCTGACGTCACACTCAGGCTGGGAGGCTCAGATCTTTTGATGTCGTATGAACAGTGTGCCAGCTTCTTAGTGGTGTAATTGTAAATAATCTAACAAACCAATAATCAGCGCTCTCTGATTCATCAGCAACTTAAAAAGATTCAAAGTTCTTATTTCAGGTTCTAACAAAATATTGAACAGCTTATGTTTTCATTAAAACACTTCACAGCTGATATTGTTTTATAGTCGCTTAAAATAATAAAGTTTGAATATAGAAAGTTTTTTTCCTCGCTAAAGGTCTCGAAGCTGGGAGGGCGTTACATTCTGACACTAGATTTTGTCTTAACAGTAAACCAATGTTTTGTTTTAACTAAGAAGTATTTGGTCCGGTTTCCCTCCAGGTGTCCCAAATCATCAACGCTCCTCTATGGAGTTTAAAAAAAAAAATTTTTTACTGGTTATGAAACTGAAATTAACATTGATGCCTCTCGATGAGCTACAAAAGCAAACAAGACAATTAGCATAAAAATGATAGATATTTTAATGATTCTGGACTGCCGCTGTGGGGCAAGTGTCAAAGTTAAGTGTGCTGCAAGCAAGAGGGAGTAACGGTGGCCTAGTGGTTAGTGTGCACGCCGTATGTACAGAGGGCTCCTTCACGGCATTCCCCATGCTCTCTCTGATTTCTGACTCTAGCCACTGTCCTGACTCTCAACTAAAGGCATTCAAAAATATATATATACACATTAAAAAAAGAAAGCAGGATGAGATTGTAAAACAAACCCCTCCCTACAGGACAAAGTAACAAAGATTGTTTTGATAGACAAGCCAAAATGGACAGAAAGTTCCTCACTGACACATTGACAAGATTTGGAAGTTAGAACACAGCGGCAGTAACACATTTACTTTCTGATGAAAACGATTGGAGCCTCCCACAGAGTATGAAATGAGAGAAAAATGTGATTGTGTTGGAAATCTGTGATATTTTCTCAGGTTTGTGATTTTTCAGAGATTTATTAAATGTGGCAGAATATAGAACCATTTCTTTGGTGGATTTTTCCCCCATGACATCCACAACAAACAAGGGATGCCATTTCTTTACATACTAAACTGCTGTTATGGTAACTAAATGGTGGGTCAGTGGAAATCTTAAACCATGGGCCAAAAGTGACTGTGTGTGATGATACTTTATGTACCTTTAGTGAACTGACTCTGACATGATGGTTTGTTTTTAATGATTGTGAGCATGATGTGGTTACCAGTGAAGCTACACACAAAGGAAATATCAGTCTGACCTCCACAGCTCCCTGCGCCATGTTCACCTCCAGCCCGCCAATAGAGACTCAAATCTGAACGGTGTTGTGGCTCCTGACTTTAGACTTCTTGTGGTATCAGTTCTGTGAATAAATGTATTTTTCCAAATGTTGAAGTGCATTTTTTGAGACTGGTGAGGGAGGGGGGGGGGGGAGAGAGAGAGAGGGATTGAAAAACAAACAAACACAGACTCATTTAGTTGTTTATTAATTAGAAACACAACAGACCAACTGAAAACCGGCCCATGAACCAAAGCGTCCCGTCGTTTGTGATCCACAAAGACATCCAGAAATAAAATATTAAACACCTTCAGATTTTCTAAATGAAAACCAATCACTACAAACTTCACAGGGTAAACAGTGCGCGGCCCACCCGCCCACCCTGACGTGATATGTTGCTAGTTTCCTCTGAATAAAGTGTCTGTCAGCTACTGTCTGAGGGAGTGAACGTCTGCTGCTGGTTGTCTTTGGGTTTGAACCACAGAGAGGAACAGTGATAAATATGAAGGTTTTGATCTGGTCAGGACGTAGTAAAATGCTGGAAAACATTGAAGAAGCTTTTGATAGATCAAGATCACACGCTGGTCTAAGGGGGAGGGAAAGGTCCACATGTGAAACATTTGAGTTCTGACTCCAAACTTAGCAAACATCCCTTCGTTTTAGAAGACTTTAAACACATTTTTCTAACTGACATCTTTTCTCAGAGTTCATACCTAAAAACTCAAACCAAAATGTATTATAAGAAGCCAAACCTCAGTCTTTAGTCTCAAAAATTCACATTTTAGGATGCAGACTGCAGTGACACTCGGACACTGTTCATTTAATGAGACTCACCAGAGCGAGTGAAATTACCGCGAGAACTTTGACAATTTAAAGGGTCAGCTTAGGCAGATACTCAACATTTCACATGTTCCTCCTCAGAAGTATTTTTCCCCTTCTGCAAATAAAGTCATAAAGTTACACAAATCATTCCTTTCCAACTGGCCCCCGATCCTTCATACCCTTCTATGTTCGCTCAGTCTTGAAAACTCTGCAGCATCATAAGTAAGCAGTGACCTCGTCTTGAGACCCAGGGAGGACAAACAAAGCCTAACTCAGATTCCCCGCTGTGTGAACAGCTCGGTGTGCAGCTCCACCAGCTTGATATGTCACAGCAAAGCTGGTTAGCACCTGAGAGAGCAGGTATCGCTTTCATAACACTGCCATCACCATGCAAACACCCTGGACACCAGGCCTGTAGCTAAGGCTGGGCGATACGACAAACACATTATTCAACGATTATTATTTTTAAGAAGGATTTATACAGATTTTTATTTATAATGTGTTAATGTTTGAAGTGTATCCTGAAAACCTTTACTGATTCATGGTTCTATTTTACAAGTAAAAAAAAAACAACAAACTGAAAATGAATGAAGATATTCTCCTTTCTCTTTAATCAGTTTTCTCTGACTTACTAGAGCAAACATGGTTCATCAGAAGGGGCTGCTAGCTGAGCTGCTGCGAACAACCTCAGTTCAGTTATAAGGTAAGCAGTTTTCAGGGTTCAAAACAAACTGACCTTGAAGATTTAAACTCGTAAAACACTGATTTTTCACCTATAAAAATCAGCATCTCTCTGTGGCTCTTTAACGAGGGCTTCAAGGGGCCAAGAGCCGAGCTGCCGCTTTCTTTTTCTCAGCTTTTAGTCTCTTAACTTAAACAAATCTGATGTCTGTCACCCTTTATCCATTTGGAAGGAATGTTCAATCTAAGATCTAAAAGGTAACATCGATGTCTTTTTGGTGTCTGAGTGGAGAGAATAGGATGGGCTGTGAGCTGAGCTGCCAGCAACAATTTAAGCTCAGTTTTAAGTAAGTTATCATATTTTTAATTCACAAGATGTTTAAAGGAGGAGCATACTTATCCAAAAGGTCTCATCCTCTTAAAAGCAAACACAGCTGGTGATTTATACCGGCACAGCCATAGAATAAAGCAGTTTTATGTTTAAATCTTTTTTTCAATGCTCATCGAGGGGGACTTTGGGGGGCTGCAACCTGAGCTGCTGCTAACTTTTGTCGGCTGTCTCTCCCTGCACACCTAGATGTCTTTACAGTTAAGAACTTAATGAATTTAAATATAAAAGCATTCAGGACCATGATTAGGTTTTTTTTCGCCCAGCCCTACTTTGAGCCTGTTGGGGGGGTCAGTTTGGACCACTCTGCTACATCTCATCCTGCCTCACACTGTCATCAGGATTATTGCTTAGCGAGAGAAGTGCATATTTAATCAGAAAACAAACCTGGTGAGGAACTATTTCTTGACCTCTCTTTTAGTATTGAACAAGAAACATTTCTCAGAGTTAAAGGCTAGCTGCTGTGTTTGACATCGATGCTGTAGAGGGGGTTGTGGGGTCAGATTGTGCCCCGGATACAAACTAAGTGATGCCACCCCCCCTCCGAAAAGGCACATACTGCAGAAAGTCTCTGCAAGTCTCAGACACACAGTGGAAGAATGAAGATGATAAAATGCACAAAAATCAAATGAAAAAGTTCCTCAGTTTCAGAAAAAAAGAACTTGAAGTGAAAAACAAAATGATGATCAAAGTGTTTTGTTTTTTTATTTATAATCCATCACTAGTGAAATGTAAAGTAAAAAACAGCATGGAAGTTCCCCTGAGATGTCTGACTTACACACTTCTACTGTAAAATGCAATAAAACGTTAAAACCGAATTCTCACAGGCGTGATTCTCTGATCAAACTGCTCCTCAAAGGCTCCCAACATTTTACCAGTACAAGCAAACTAACATGTCAAAACCTGTGAAAATGATTAAAACCAGAATGAGAAAGGCAGAGACTCTTCAGAAATGCATAAAGTTGAATAAAATAATCTGTTGAGTGTGTGTCTTCATGTTTCAGGAGAATTTAAAGTTAAACATTTGAGTCCATCAAATTAGAGACCTTCATGGAGCTACTCTGTGTGTGTGTGTGTGTGTGTGTGTGTGTCTGTGTGTGTCTGTGTGTGTCTGTGTGTGAGTGTGACCTCTACAGCTCGTCACAATAAACCAGCACTCTCTGAAAAAAGGTCAATTAAAACTATATTTAACAAGACGTGTTTCTACGGCCGCCCTACCTGCTGCTGTGATGAGTGTTTGTCTCCTTTAACATGAGGTGATTCTGCTGTGACTCGGTCATCACAGATACACAGACGACCAGAGGCTAACTCTGCGATTCAAACACACACGACTGTTTCCAAGCTTCTCTTCTAGTGGCTGCAGCCTGCTACACGTGTACACACACTCTCTCAAACACACACACACACACGCTCATGCAGGCTCAGTCAGATGAAAGTCTTCCTGACGGAAAGAGGAAAGGGGGGAGGGGGGAGGGGGGAGGGGGGAGTTGAGGGAGCAGCAGGTCCCTCGCGGTTGTCCTCCCCTCCCTGTCAGCTGCGTGTCTAGCCGACAGCCTCGCTCACAGTTTGGCAGCCATGAAGTTGATGTGAGGCCGGACCAGCGGGAAGAGAGGCAGGCTCCTCTTGAACTCGGTCATGTCCTGAACCAGCGTGGGCTGCAGAGACAACAAGAGAGGCTGCAGGTCAGAGGAGGCGGAGCAACAACGGCTGAACACATCAGTCAGCCTGCCTACAGCAGAAACAGCTGCACTGACACCGAGACTCATTCACCTCAACTGTAATAACATATTTATATATTTTACATTTTTACACTGGGGTTTGTTTGTTTTTTCTCTTTGAGTCAAAAAAACAAACAAACCCAGAAGAATGACACAGCTCATCTGAACAGACTCTATTCTTCTCTTTGATACAGAAACCACGATTATGTCAGACACTCCTTGACTGACAAATGTCTCAAAATAAAGGGTTAAATAAATATTATTTTATAATACTGAAACAAAAGAAAATGCATCATTGTTTTGGACTATTTTAAGAGGCCAATGACATTTGTTGGCACATTTGTTGAACTGGTGGGAATTTGGGTGCCAAGACCGTGTTTCTTAAACTAAAATGTGTGGAACCTTTCAGTCTTATTCACACACAGCTTTTCAGAAATGTAATAATTTTGAAAGACCTCTTCTAGTAAAAAGCAGCTGACTGTTGATTAATCACAGATGGGCTGTATGCAGTTCACTGTGATTTACTGTCTCTAAATGTGTGCTCGGAGCGTGCAGAGCCGGCAGGTTAATGTGTTCAGGAGCAGAAAAATAGAACCTGATGATTACCTGTGGCAGGGAGGGAGCAGGGGCAAGGTTGACGTCATTCTGGGCGGGGAACTCTCCCACGATGGGACCTGATGAACACACAGAGAGACCCTCAGTTCAATCTGATGCTGCATGAACACACACAGAGTCTGAACAGAGCTGACACAGATACTCACAGGAGTCCATCTCTCTGGAGAGGACGTGCACCGACACCTTGTGTCTCCTGGGGGCTTCGACTGTCAGACGATCCTGCAGGGACGCACACAGACAGAAACAGACAGAGACACACACACGCAGAAACACACACACACAGACAGACAGAAACACAGACAGGTGAGATGATGCACAAGTGTGGCAGCAAGGAACATGGCTTTTTTTAAATTTGAATATATAAATCATTTCTTCTGAAACTCAACCTGAAGAAGTCCCTTTACTCGGACTCAGAATATGTCCGGTCAGTCTTGCAAACACTGATCTCAAAGCCTTTCCTGATGCATGCCTAATGTTCTTCTGCTTTATGATATCCAAACTAAACAAATGAGAGTAATTTGACTCTAAACAGTAAGATGCTGGAAAAGCTCAAATGTCCAACGTGCAAGCTAAAAACTGCAGATACATTTCCAGTTTGGTGTTTCTTCTGTTCTTTGATTTATTTATTTTGGGGTGAAACTGATGATGTTTTTATTAGTAGTTTATATTTGATCAGGATCTTGTACCGAGATTATTTTATCATCCAGCCCTAACTGGAATGACTCATGATTTAGTTCAACATTGTTCCCACCACAGAAGAAGAAAAAGCGTCCCGTGTGTGTTTGGCCGCCCGTGTGTGTGTCTCAGTGAGTCTGCAGTGTCCTCACAGCCCAGTGGATATTTAGCTCCACAGTCGAGCCTCGTCACTGTCTCTGCGAGGAGGATTATATTAAGACTGAAGAATTAGCTCGTCTGCAGTCAGACTATGTCGGCTCCGGCTACCAGAAATGAAATAAAGAGAGAGAGCGAGAGAGAGAGAGAGAGAGAAAGAGAAGGCGATTGCGGGCGATACGACATTAGAAATGCATGAGGGTTATTGTGCATGGGGCCTGTAATGGTTTCTGCTGGGCTCAGATAGCGGCTGTGTGTCATTATAGCGGCTGATATGCTGTGAGCGTCCTGTGTCAGTGTCACCTCCACAGCTATGAATAGAAGCAGAGAGATGAAAGCGGCCGCATTGAATCCACTGACACACACAGTTTGACTGGATTCAGAGCAGCAGTGTGTGGAAAAGATGCTGCTCTTTTATCTCTAAAGTGTTTATCACACAGACTTTTAACTTTCACAAAGAAAGCATATCGGATATTTTAGATTATTGCCCTAAAATTAAAGTTTATCTAGTTTTATTCTGGAGCTTTTTTAGTGCAGCTACAAAATAAATTGCATTTTCATCATCATGCTAAAGACTCATGAATAAAAAAAAAGAAGAAAGTGATTTTATGTTCACGCTCCATGCATTCACTCTCAGCATGCAAGTGTTTAACAGTCAGGTGAACTCTACTGCTCTCAGTCTACATCTAGTTATAACACATACACAAACTGATGGTTTTTGCAAACCTCGATTTTGCAGATAATTTTCCTGCCAAGTCGGGATGAACCGATGTGTGATCACATTGAGGAATATTCAGGAAAATGCTCCTCGAGTGAAAGGAGTTGGTGACGTTTACAGTATATCATGAGAACTGAGACCGGTGAAGCTGCTTTTGTAGCATGTAGCATTTATAGAGAAGGCAAACTGTCATAGTGACGGACTCTGATCGTCTATCATTTCCGCATGCTTCTTTTTACATCATGTCCGGCCTCCTGAGACCCCACCCTCGCGTCTAACGCTGCGAGGTGCATGTGTGAACAGGTGAGTCCAGATTTAAGGGGCAGCCTGTCCTAAAACTGTCTTAATATTTTCAGGAGTGTCTGTATGAAAAACACTACAGGTTCTTTGCTGATATCAGTGAGGTTAGCGGGCATGTCGGCTGAACTAGGAGAGAAAACGAGGAAATGACCCCGGTTTGAATCTGACCTGTGGCTTCTTCCCCCGCATGTCGTTCCCCACTCGCTCTCTCTTCCCTGATACTGAGCCTATCCACTGTCCTATCTCTAAAAAATATGAAACTGAACTATTCTAACACTCAAACGTGCTTATTCTGTGTTTCCATAGAGATTCCAAAGGGCTCATAAAACGAACACTTACTCGGTAGAACTGCATGACGTTTTCTTTAGTCAGAGTCTTCAGATAGGCAACTTCAATGTTATCTGAAAAACAACAAGGCAAACATTAACATTAGTTCATATGAGTAAAGAAGAGGATTCAAAGACCCGAACGGAATCTGAAGTACTGTGTGAAGCAGACCGTCTGATATTATTAATCACAGTGAACACTGGCCTGATTGTAGAGAGTCAAATTAAAATGTGTTCAAATGAATCAGAGTGTTTGGAGTTATTATGATCTCTGTACAACATAAACTGAAGTTAATGCAAGTCAATGAACCAAAATGAAGTCTTGAAATGTTGATCTTGTGTTTTTCTGAAAGGGTGTTGAATAAACACAGACTGAGCAGAGGAGAAACAGAGCACTGTCCAAATTGCACAAATACATTTCCAACGTTTCAGTAATGAAAGGTTTCCTGTTTATTTGTGCAACTTGTATCCCAGACAGGATACACAAAACGACCCAGTATCTGTGCTGAGGACTTGTATTTTTGTTGACCAGGTATCAATCGAACGTGTTTTATTTTTACAAGAATTGAAGTTTAAATATCTGGTATGGTGAGAACCCTAGCTCCAGCTAATAACGATTATATTTTAGATAAATTAAAACAAGATTATGCAAAAGAGAAGCATCATCAGTCGTTTATGTTTGTCGACACATAGAAGAGCTTTTAAAAGTCTGTACAAAGAAAAGAGATGTGATGCGATTCTTCTTTTCAGCAAAGGGAACAGTTAGCTAGCGTCCCAGCCTCTTCTGTGACCTTGGCATAGAGAAATGTAGCCACCTTCACACTCCTGACGGCCCTCCCCTCCTGTAACGCTGCTGGTATCAGTAATCAGCACCACTCCCTTGGCTGCTGTTCCGGGTCGCCATCACTCTGAGCTTTAGGCAGATTACCAGTGAATCAGGCCCATTACAATCCATTACGGCACTCAGGAGAGCGCGGCGAGAAAGAGGTGTGCTACTGCTGCAGATTATTTCAGCCTTTAATCGATCCTGATTTGTGCAGCTCTAAGCAACATCCTGCTCACCTCTGAGACCGACCCGCAATATTGAGAACTCAGAAGAACGTGTACTTGACTTCTCACCTAACACAAGCTGCTTATTATAGCTGCTAGATTACAGAGAAAGTGAAACGTGTATTTGGCCTGAGAGCCAGGGCTGCCCAGTGAAAGTCGATGATGCTTTTCTTTCATCGAGAACACGCAGAGTCACTTCACGTTTAGTTAGTCGAATCAATGCACTTTAGTTTGTTTTCACTGTGTCACTGTACTCAGATCAATAAAGGTGCCACAGCCTAAACTTTACAGAAACAGGTTTCAAAATGACCCTTCAGTGTCCATTGTTCAAAGGTTTTCCCCTGAAGCTGAAATATCAATGAGGGTTTCCTAATCTGAGATGCAAACTGACCCGCTGATTCAAACGTGTAACAACAGAGTGAGGCAGCTTCATATAACAGTCACTGTTTCTCCAACAAAGACAGGAAGTAAGGTGGGGGTCGAAATGAGCAACAGCTTCTTTGTTACTAGGTACTCTACAAGTTTATACAAAGATCTAAATTCCTTCAATGTTTAAAAATGTTAACAGTGAGCCGAACTATCTGCAAAGGTCTCGTCCTATCAAAACAAACAAAAATGCTCTATGACGTGTTTTCACCTCTTTCATCACCTTAAGACTAACACTCCAGCAGAGCTTTGGGGGCTGCTGATATCTTTAACTTTAGTTGAAGGCCAAAGTGATACAAATCTAATATCTTTGCTCATGTGTGACTCAGATCTAATTTTTTTAGAGGTCTATTTGAGAGTTTTGCCTTTATTTTTACTCATGACAGCAGAGAGTAGGAAATCAGGAGAGAGAGAGAGAGAGTGGGGAGTGCTTGGAGGACATGAACCTCTGTGCATGGAGCGTAACCAAACTGCTAGGCCATCAGCGTCCACATCAGATTTTTTTATGACAGTGTGAACAGCACAACTCACATTAAGTCTGGTCTTTTCTTATCAAACTTTGTCCACCTTCGTATGTGGCTTCCATAATCAAGTACAGGTCGAATCTTTCGCAATGCATCCTGAGTATGAACAGCCAGATCAGAACGCATGTGACTCTGACGTCACACTGACTGACACTTGTTGCAGTCCTGCGCTGGTGGGAGGAGCAGTCGCTCTTAAACAAAAAGAAAGGAGACAGCTGCAATGGAGGTAGTCATAGGAGTGACAGTCAGTGTCAGACCTTTTAAGTTTTTGGGCTGACACCTACAAAGAAAACGTGAATGATGGCTGTAAAGTGTTAAAGAGCATCTCAGTGGAAATAGCAACAGACCAACGTGACTGCAGTGTCAACAGAAAGGTAAGAACCTTAAAGCCAGGTTTAGAGACGCTAGGTTAAGAGCAGCAGGTGACGCCTCTGTTGTTGTTCTTTGGCACATGTGGTCAGTTCAGGTCACGTGACCAGTTCACACAGGAATCTGCTAAAGGTCACATTTGAAAAGTAATGTGAGCAGTAAGGCGTGCAGTGTGACTATATTCAAATGGTTGTCCACCAACATGCAGCTACCAATGAAATCTTTTGCTAAATCTGCCAATCAATGCCGACGTGAGGACAATAAAGTGGAGTACAGCACAGACAAGCTAGTTCTGCTTGGGTATTGTAGGAATGACTTGTTACTCTCTTCTGATGTGTACATAAATCAGATCGGTTCAGTTTCTCCATTCCACAGTAAAATCTTGACTTTCATTTTCAGAATCAAAAAGTAATGTTCTCGGGCCGCTGAATAATGTTGTGATCAGAGATCTTAAAAAGTGAATAACAGACTCATGGCTGCTGATATACAAGTTTGATGTTGTGTTTCACTGAAAGGAAATACTAATAAAAGAAATCATCTACTGACAAGTCAAATCCAATTGGATTTCTGTTTAAAATGGTGAACAGATAGCAGTGAGGGGGGAAGAGGAGTGTTACCTCTGTCGAAGTTATACTGCTGAGAGATGATCTCTCCCCAGTACTTGGCGCACTCAGCCGACAGCTTCTTGGGTTTGTCCAGGCGGCGGATGGCCAGTGCCTGGATGTGTTTCTGGAAGGCTTCGTCGCTCATCTCCTCCACAGACTTCTCCATGGTGCAAAGGAAAGCCTCCACGCGGCTCTCCAAATAGTGCGGCGCCTTCTCCGACTGGATGATGAAGCGCAGGCCCTGCACGCCGTTAGCCCGCCGAGGCCCGCTGAAGACGATGTAGCCTGGGGGGTCGAAGGAGGAGCGGACAGAGGGGGTTTTTTATCTTGTGAACGAAAACATTTTGGGGAGTCAACTTCACAATTACTACTTCAAAAAGCATTTTATTCTAATCATAAATGAAGTGTAATGACTCCATAAGGTTATTAATAATCATCACAGATGACGACACGCTTCCTGGTCTTTATAGAGTCATATCTAATTACTAATCAAAGCTGCAGATTCTCAAAGAAAAACAAGAAGTCTTGTCTCCACATGCCCCGTTCTGTGCTGGAAGAGGCTCTGTGTGATGGTGTTTTCATGTTTTCAGGGACTCACCCAGTTGTTCTTTGGTTCTCAGTGTGTTGAAGCAGGGCTCCGAGATGATCTGACAGAATAGCTCCAGCAGCATGTTGTCGTTGGTGCTCTGCATGTCTGTCTGATAGTAGATCTCAATGCCACAGTTGTTGTGCACCTCGTTCCTCTGCTGGTAAACATACCAGCCACCTGAGAGAAACACAACATCATAGTTTTATGTTGATTTATTCCTGCAATCGTATAAATAAATAAACACAGAGACTTGGTCAGAAAAATACAGAAATACAACAGAAGCAAAACGTGTACTTTGGAAGCTTTGATATGATTAGGAACTGTTTTTTTAAGGTTTATTTTGGTCTTTTTATTAGTGAGACAGGACAGTCGATAGAGTCAGATATCAGGGAGATGGGGGGGGGGAGGCAACAAGCGGAAAGGAGTCACAGGTGGGACCTGAGCCCGGACTACAGCCTCCACACATGCTCGCACATAACACTACACCACCAGTGCCCCTGTGTTTTTTTTTGTCTTTTTAAGCACACTGCATATCAATATCATTAAATCGTTATATGGTTACTGTGGGGAATGAAGGTTGACCTATAGATCGGCATGTGACCGGAAGCAGCTGGTTTTCAGCCTGCTCGGCGCTGACCGGCCAGTTGGAAATCCAAATCGGCCAGAGAAATTCTTTAGTGGGGATCGAGCACAGTAAACAGAATGCACCACCTTTTTTTGTCGACCAAACATTGACCAAAGCTACTGGCTTGGGTTTGGTTAAATGTCATGGTTTGGGCTGAAATAAATTGCTTACTACTGAGTATCACATTTGGGCATCGGGGTCTCCAGAGTGTAAGAAAATGAATATGATGAGATTGTCACAGAGCGAAACAAAGCATACTCAGCCACGCCCGGGGAAACCACGCCCATCAGGTTGGAATATGGTGTTTTAGGAGCTCGATTATTATATTAAAAGTCCTGGCTTTGAAAACCAGAATCACTGTACCTTAAGTCACTTTGCCTAATTTATGGCTGCAAACTGCTGAGCTGTCTAAGTTGTAGATACCAGAGGTTTTTTATTTTTAAGCTCGAGGCAAAGAGGAGCGTAGCAGTAAAACAGAAAGGGTCAGACAGAGGACAGCAGTGACACTGAATGCTAACATGGTTCTTCTCCTCTCGGCTTTTATCTGTGCTTTACATTTTCTTTTGAGCAGTGAGGATGGGAGCTGTCCATTCTGGCACAGGGGAAACTGATTCCTTTTTCCACTCAGCTTCGGTTTTATGTGATCAAGTTCACTTTGAATGGAGGACGAGTTTGAGGAAAATGCTGACTGAGCACTTCAGGAGTGTCATGTCAACGGTCTCCTTTCTCTACATGTCCAGAGAAATTCACTTATGATTACTCAAAAAAGTAAAGGGGAAGTGTTTTGGTTGGATAAGTGGGAGCACTAACATGAAGTGTGGACACTTAAATTTTGTGCGTCAGTGTTTGTTTTGTTTTTTCACAGCACGCTTCCATGCTGTCGACATGATGTAAGCCAGCTTTCAGTCAACTCTAAAGAATGTGTGACACATAAATAAAACACGTTTCTGACTGCAAAGGTCAAACTGTACTAATTACTGCTATAAAGTCCAATCTGTCTGCATTGGACACCATAAATTACAGGATGAGAGCATTTAGTGCCTCAAATGTTGCACAAAAGATTAAATATCATCCTAACTGACAGTGCAACATAAAACCTGTTAACAAAGCATATGAGCAGTTTCTGAGCAGAGTAAAGAGACGTTTTGATTATTTTTTTGGCAACAGAGCAAGAGATCCTTCGTTATTATCTGCAAATACTTTAAATGCCTGAAAATTGTGAAACCTAAAGGTTTTTTAAGTTCAAGGTGTTTATGTAAAATCAATTTATGCAAGATTATGCAACCAGAAATCTCCCGTTGCCAGATGGCCTGCATGTTTTTCTCCAGGTGCATGTAACGCATCTCAATGACATCATCAGTAAACGGACAATTTGATGATGAAAAAGATGTCCTGCAAAAAGAATGAAGGATACATTGATTTAAAGAAGACTGTGCAAAAAAACAAAACAACTGAAGTTTCCTCAGGGTTAAAAGTGAGCAGGTCATCCTTCTCATCATGTTTGAATAACAAGGGGCCTTTAACAAAGAATAATTTGAACTTTAAGCAGTGAGAGTAATAACTTCTTTCCGTTTTCCGTCCATCTGTCCGTCATTCCAGGAGCAGACTCTGTGTTTACATCCTCTCTGTCCTCCTCCTGTGCTCCTGCTCTGTGTCTGTCTGACACGCAGTCTGGAGCCCGGCCTGGAAAAATCCCTGAGTGAGACTCAGGAAGTCTCCGGGTGGCCCTGAGCAGCTCTGCTCTGCCTTTCAACCCCCCTCACTCATTCGAATCAGAGACGCAGCACAGGTGCTTTGCTTGGCATGTGTGTGTGTGTGTGTGTGTGTGTGTGTGTGTGTGTGTGTGTGTGTGTGTGTGTGTGTGTGTGTGTGTGTGTGTGTGTGTGTGTGTGTGTGTGTGTATTTGGCCTGATGACGTCCATCTCGGCTCAGTGACTGTTATGTTCCTCTGAAGGAAATGAGGGGTATTCAATTAAATCAAGTCTTCACAGACGCACAACAGCATCACCGATGACGAGGATTATGGGTAAGGACTCTTCAGTGTGGTCACAGTGCGGACATGCATGACTGGCATGATGATGAACATAACAAAGAGCGCAGTCACACCTGCTCTTCTTGTGGAGGGTCTTGTTAATATTTGTTATGAATTGACGCTATAAAAATGAAGATGGAAGAATGATTACAAGTGTGTGTGTGTGTGTGTGTGTGTGTGTGTGTGTGTGTGTGTGTGTGTGATTTCAATCCTACCATCTGGAACTTGCACCTCTCTGTAGCGAATGAGTTGGCTGGGGAGGAGGGGCTTTGTGTGAGCGTGCTCAATGAGCGTGTCCTCCAGCATTTGCATCATGCCAAGAGCCGACTGGAGGAGAGAAAACAAACAATTAGTGCCCAAAAACAGGATTTCAAAAGGAGGATACTTCTCTGAGAAAAGCATTGTGCTCTGTTTTGCTTTTCAACATTTCTGTCCTACTTCATTAGCTAAGCCTGCAGATAGTTGTAAACACTTACAGACCTTTCATTTTTAAGTACATGATTTAAAAGGATGCTTTCTATGCTACTCACTAAAATAAAATAAAAACACACATAAGATAACAAGGCCTCCTTTTTAAAAGCAGCTGGTTAGTGGGGCGTTGTAGGACCACGCTGTAGCTTGAATACGAACAAGTGGATCATTGATCTCACTGGTTAGCCTAAGGCGTGTTCTGACTTTTTAAACCAAATCTGTTATCTTGATATATCGAGGCTGCTCAAATCAGATTGAACAGCATCTTCTGCATCGTTCAGAACACAACACCCAACAACGTCATATCCAGGATGACGGGATTGAGTCAGAGAAACTGAGTTGTTGATCGTCTTTTTCTTTATGGGAGGACAAGACAGAAAACCTGGAGTGACTGAGGCGGAGACTGAATAGTACAATGGAGGAGGGTGAAATGTTGGTTCTTATTTATTTAGAGGCGTAGTTTTCCAACATAACTTCCTGATTTTTTTTTGAGGCATTATGAGATATTTTGTCAAGCTTCACTCAACCCCCTTACCTTTGTCCTAAAATAGTCCCTGCTTGTGCTTAGCTTAGCTCTGTTTGCGCACTAACCGTTTGCTGCCGACCAATGCAAAGATTATTCACTCCTCGAAGACGTGTTCATTTTCTTTTAGAGAATCCTTTAAGAGCATTTAATCTTAAATAGGGTTCCTCGGCTTCGTTTTAGGTGCTCAGGCTGTCCCGACACTAGGATTTTAAAACTTGCACATGATACTAGTGAAAATTAATCAATATTAATAGCTGTTTGAATACCACAGTAACAAAAACACAACTCCTAGGGACCCAATATTTGGTAAGTGACCACAGCTGCTCTCTCTCTTTAAATCACACAGCAGCTTTGGATTAAAACGATGACTGTAGTTATTAAAAAGCTTCAGTACTTTTTCATACTTTCAAATATTAAAACAAGAGACTGCATTGTTTCTAAACGTGTTGTCGAAAAGTATCGCAGGATAAAAAACTTTGACAACCTTTAAAGTTTCCTCACAGCGTGTTATTAAATCTTGTGATATTAAATAAAAATGTTGAAATCACAGAGTAACATGACATAATTTCTACATGATAACATTCACTGGTCTTTGATTAAAATGAAGTTCCACAGATACAGAAGTGTGTGTGTGTGTGTGTGTGTGTGTGTGTGTGTGTGTGTGTGTGTGTGTGTGTGTGTGTGTGTTTGTGTGAGACACCTTTTTAAACAAGCATGTATGGTGACTTGCCAGTAAAGGAACAATCATTCACAAATAGTTTAATTCCTCAGAGCTTGACTGAGCAGCTCACTTTGTTTAACTGTGATCAAATATCTTCTCTTACGTTATATGATTGTCTTTTTTTTCTTATTTTGGAAAATATGCTTTTGTAATTAACCCATCTCTACCTATCCCATTTTTTTAACGAGTAAGGTCTTTTGTAAAGCGCCTTGAGACAACACTTGTTATGAATTGCCCCTGTACAAATAATGATTGATTGATTATGTACTACTCCGTTGCATTGTTGACATGAAAAAGGAACAACTTTGATGACATTTTGTTTTGCAACTGAATACAATTCATATATTTTGAGGATGGATGGGTGCCCTGTGTTCAGCCGTGCTACTCCTTGAGGTCAACCTAGAGCAGGATCAAACAGCTTTCAGGATGAGAGTTATCCAGCGCACACCACGATTGTTCAAACTAACTTTAAAGGTCAATCTGAAGAATCCTGGTGTGCATACTCTGATCTTGAAAACTATATATTTTTTGTATTTATTTCTTGTTCATATTGTTCTTGATGTTTTTTGAGGAAAAATTGCCTTTTTATTTTCAGCTGAAAATCTGTGCCAAATATGTTCAGTTTTTTTCCACTTGCAACATAATAGTTGCCATTTTAGAGCTCACATTCATCACTGACCTCCATTCTTCATGCTTTGCTTTAGAAAAAACGTCAACAGCATATGTACTTAGTAACTGACGCCTGCAGCCACGTCCGAGACATCAGAACACACAAATCTGACCCGATCACTTGCAAATGAAAGTGCGGACAGTCTATCATCGAGATCAGATATGAGAAATAAATCTTATTAGCCTGCAGTCTGCACAAAGCCTCGTTCTTTCTCTCCACCAGACTGTGACGCCACCCTCCTAGAAAGTGTGACTTTATAAGAGGTTTGAAAATAATCCTCTGTGATACCACCGGACAGCCAGATAAAGGGCTGAAGGTGATCCAAAGGATTGAGAATTAAAGTGAATTCAATATACACTCAGAAAAAGGTTTTAAAAAAAGGAATATGAATGCTCAGAGTTCTAAAAATAGGTGTAGATTACGCAGCTCTCCCCTTGTTTCTGTCTCAGTCTAAAATCAATCTCAGTCTCCAGCGTGTCCAAAAACACTGCAGCAAGAAAACCAACTGGAACCAAATACAACAGCCATGTGACCTCGTCCGGGGCACAGCTGTACCGGCTACCAGTAAGATTAAGAACTTATTTTAAGTTTTTCTTTGAACTTAAAGAAGTACTCTCGTGCTTTCCTACTTCCAAAAAACTCCTGATATTATCCGGAGGAGCTGCATGGCTGGAGATTTATTTATTTTTCGCTCAGACTTCACCTGGAGTTTCTCCTGCCAGACCCGTGTTATTTTTTTGGCTGAAAGTTCGAGTGAGCTGATGTGAGAGAGCAGCAGGATATAATCCAGAGAATTCACCTCGAACGAGTGGGAGGGGGTTTTAACTCTGGTATAAAGACTAGAAAGTCAGAAAGAATCATGAGATCAACACTTTGAAGGTTGTTTTTGAATCTTTGTAATAACCGTTCTCAGTTTTTTATCAATGCTCTGCTTTTGGTTTGTATCTCTAAACATCGATACGGTTTAAGAGCTAGATACGTTTGTTGGGCTGTGTGTGTGTGTGTGTGTGTGTGTCTTTAACAGTTGATTTTGGTGTATTGTATGGACGGTACTTAATAAACATTGCTTTTTCAATTATTATACATAATAAATTATTACAATTATGTAATTGTATCTGAGAGGCAGAGTGTCATAAAATTCGCACAGATCGAATAAATAAAAAAAGCAGTGACAAACCTCCTTGGGGATATTGCCGTGGAGAAGGGCTTCGATATGTAATCGTGACAGGAGTTGAGGTATGAAGGCCTTGAGGCGTGCGAGAGTTACATCTGGAATACAGATCACACACAACAACAGCAATCAATCAAAGAGCAATTTCCCCGAGCTAAAGACTTCATCAGAAAAAAAAAGAGAGGAAGAGAGAACCTGCTGTGTGTGTCTGTGTGTTCATCATACACTACTTCAGTGGGCACATGTTACACAAAACTACAATCTGAAGCTGGACAGGAAATATGATCACTATAAATTTGTCACCATGGATTATTGGAGATACTTAACAAGATTTATACCGTGTGTTTCTTCTTCCTGTTTAAAGAGGATCACTAACTGCAGACAGAGTACATCCTGCATGATGAGCTGACACTTACAACTCGTTTCAGAAGCTCAGCTTTTCTTGCATTATTATTATTTTTTTAATTACTTTTCACCTTTATTAGTTAGAACAGCTGAAGAGAGACAGGAAATGTTGGGGAGAGAGTAGTGTATGACATGAAGCAAAGTGCCAAGGTCAGATTCCAACCCACAGTCGCTGCGGCGCTGTACGAGATATAACCGCTCGAGTCAGGCCCATTCAACTGGCTGCTCAGTTCTATTTACAATAAATTATAAACCGGGGGGGGGGACTTGTGAATGACTATCATTGTTGCCACAGTAAAGTATTAAAAACAGCAGAACGCACCCGTTTAATAGAACATCTTTGGTCCTGTGCTTGCAGTCTATCACAAGCTTGTGTTGTTGATGGGGGGGGGAAATGGCTTTGCGCACTGTACTGCTGTGGTGAGCTTGTTGTTCTGTCCCCCTGGGTCCTTGGTTTTCTGAAAAATTGGCCCCCTGAACAAAATAGTTGAATAGCCCTGCGATAGACTATCGCTGCTCCAACTTTTCTGACATTATGATTCATTTTATTTCTCATGTTTACATTGTTTTTATAGGAACTACATTTTCCTCAGAAGTCTTCTCCTTTTAATGATTTAAACAAGATAGGATACTACATAAAGCAGCTTCAGTCTAGACATCTCTCTTCACCGGACACACAACATGTGGTGATAGAGCTTCTGGCCAAGCTGCATATTAGAAACATAAATATGGAAATGTAACCTTTTTTAAGTCAATAAATTCCTCTTTGTATGATAATAAGAGTTGATTTTCACTATTGTTTGTGTGTACCTCAGTAGTATTCTTTTCACTTTTACAGGAGACCTCGACTTTCTTCACATTCATCTCAAACTAGGTTTTGTAAAGGGTCATGGAAGTGGGCGTTTTCTCTGTTGAGACTTCACTTCTGAAGCTGCTGCAAGACAGGAAGACTTTCATATAATGAAAAATGGCTCTAGCATCTTTATTGATTTAAGTTGTATTTCAACCCTTTTCAGAACATTTTATGGCCCCACACAATTGCAAGCCTGGCCAAACACACACTCACACATGCAGTTATACACACAAATCTAGTCCATCTTAATGTGGGCTGGCCAATCTGAATTCAAGTATCGTCTGACCCAGATTCAAGGATGAGCTACTACAGGGACACACTCACTTTACCAAGACGATTGTTTGTCCACAGCACCACACAACACACACACAGAAACACACACACAGTCAGAAACAAAGGTGTGTGGTGGAGCTTAGACAGACAGCAGGGGCTTAAGGACACTGATAAGGGAGAGGCGGTGATAATTGGAGGCCCTGGTGACAAGTCTGCTGGCTTTCACCCTGCAGGTTAATTGAGTCTCATGTGAATCTGAGGATAGTCTGTGTAACATCCGTTGGTGAAAAAGAACAATCTGCCCTTCAGGTTCCAGACCGGCACAGCGGAGAGGAAAGACTGCAGCCAGGGAGGAGCACAGCCTCAGCATTCAAATGAAGAGAAAGACACACAAGTGAAAAAAGAAGAACAGCCATCTATCAGCTGTGAGCCAAACTCCTCAAAACTACAGAAACTTGTTCTGTCTTTTTGAGGAATACTTTCATTCTTCATGTATATCTCAATACATATGCCAATTGTTAAACTGTATTTAATTACTTTATCCTTTATTGAACTCTTGACGATGTTTTTGTGTGTGTGTAATGTTAATATATCTCATGACTGGTCTGGTACCAGACACAATCACTATGTATACTGTGTATGTTACTGATAAATATGAATTGAATAACCATGATCATATTTTCTACTACATAGCTGAAGTTTGCCTGCTCAGTTCTAGCCCTGAGGAAAGGCTCGACTCTGCTGTTATTCTGTGTTTTCGGGGAGCTGAGATTGGCTTCCAGTAGTTAAAGGCTAATAAGCACCAGAGCTGGGACTTTGAGACAGAAGTGAAGAAAGAAAAGAGAGTGGTTTTTAAAGTTGTGTCTCACCATCCAGAGCTTCTCTGAGCTCGTCTTTGGTCCAAGCAACCTCGGTCATTAGCAAACGGAGGTAGTACATGGCGTGCTGGTGAGGCTGCTCGGCTCTGAAGTTATTCAAAGACCTCATGTACTGCGGGGAGATAGAGAAGTTCAGCACTTAATGATGTGGATTTAAAGAGAAATGTTCAGTATGAGACTACAACTGCTGCAACCTTCACTGCTCTTGTTGTTGTAAAATAATAAGTTATGAACACCCAGGTGAAAGGGTTAGCTGTTCAATAAACATTTCAAAGTCAGCGCTTTGTTGGATCATGACTCAGCAGAACTTTTGTGGAGAGATGATGGAGTTGCAGTCGGGTCTTACCGCCTCTTTGATGATGTCAAAGCGCTTCTCATCGATCTCGAACGTGGCCATCTTCTCGATGATCTTCTTCAGCAGGATGTGTTGTTTGTCATTGTAACCTTTCACTGACAGCTGCGGCACACAGCGACAGATGACAGGAGGAGCATTATCAACCAACAGAAAGATCAGGAGGATCAGTGGTTCATATATCACGCTAAAGTTTCATTTGTTGATTTAAAGGTCTGGAAATTCATTTGTGACATTTCTAATTATTGGCTGACAATTACCATAAAAAGCCTTTCAGAGAGGTGATATTTGTCAAATACTAGAGCCTGACAGAATAATCGCCCGATATTAACATATCCAGCGACTTATCGTATCAGCGAATTTTATCATAGATATGCGCCAATATTACCAGATTTATTTACCAGTCAAATAGCATTTCTTTAGCAATTCTCTTTCACCAGCAGAGTGCACTGTATGGATTACAACAAACATCATCACTCTCCAGAGTGTCAAGCTGTGATGCACATACATGCTCAGTTACTTTTCCAGTTAAGTGACCATCTTGTCTTCATTATATATCTTTTTCACAAGCGTGCGTGTGTGTGTGTGTCAACACAATAAATGTGTATATCTGTATATCTCTACAGATCGAAGGTAGATCTAAAAAAGATTTCGACGGATATATTGGTATCAGATTTTTTTCCTCTCCCTAATATCAATAATCTGTATCGGACCCAACAATCCTATATCGGTCAGGCCCTTAGCATAATGCAGATTTTGTCATGAAAGCATGAAACATGGTACGATCATATAAAGGGTTGGAAAACGCAGGGTAATGCATAAGATGATATCTCTGTCTGTGTTTTTGTTGCTGTGTTTCTCGGTCAGATCTCTCTTGGAAAATAGGTTATTAATCTCAATGGGACAAAGCTGGTTAAATAAAAAGAAGTTAAACATTGCTGTGGGTTGACGTTACGCCACTCTTGGCACAACAACCACAACAACAGTGTGTTTATATACTTTCAGTCGGTAAGATTTAGTTCAGGTGATCACAAAACCAAAACCTGTGTAATTCAACAGACACTGAAACAGGTTCTATCATATACTGTAGATGTTGATTTAAAGACATTTTTGGAGTGGTCTGTTATCTTTGTCCAGAGCTGTTTATCATCAAATGTATAACTTCACATCTTTATTCATCTAAAATGTTTTAATCGACTTGAAGTATAAAAACGGGGGAGGAATGCATTTTCTTTTTTTTAAAGCGATATATTCTCATCAAACACGAGGATAAAAACAGACTGATCTATAAAAGCAATCATCACCACATCATCCCATGCATTGTAAACAGATTCAGTGAAGTCTCTCTGGGAGTCACAGCCGTCCTGAGAGGCTGATGATGATGATGATGATGATGATAATGTAAATGAGTATTTTTAAAGTGGAAAAGAACAGACAAGGTTATTTAAAGCCTCCGTTTTGCAAAGTCATCCACACTCTACGCCCTTCATGACTCAGCAAAACCTCCAGCCAACATGGCTACACCCGCACACCACGTCCTGCCCACTCCCTGTGGCTGAGTCCCTGCACTGGAAACTCTCCTAACATCATTAACCTTGACACACACCGCTGACTCATGTCCATTATGTACAGGCCGTCACACAGATACACAGACCGAGTAGCTTTCTTTAATCATGGAAACATGGATGGCATGCAGCTAATGAATGCAGGTTACTGGGTTATAAGGATGCAGAGGTTTGGTGCAGAAGTCAGAAAGCTCACAGAGAAAGGAAAGAAACACCACCACTGCAATCCAGTTTCACTCTCACAGGCAGGTTGTCACTTTGTTCTGAAGGCACACACAGTCACACAAATTCAAGCAGACCAATGTATTCATTAACTCATTGGTGCCCGATAGGGCGGACTCTCGCTTAAAAAAAAATTTGATATGTCATACTTTTTTTTTTTAATCCATAAGGCTCGGGGACTTAAGCAGGTCTGTGGAGGAAATGCACGGGCCAGCAGACAGTCTTACAAATCTATTATGTTAGAGAAATTAAGCACCTCAAATAATCAATATGGACGTAGAAAGATCAAAGCCATGTTCACACAGCCTCAAAGTGGACCCTTCATCACCATCACCCCCCACTTCCCTTCACACATATTACTTACGAGGATGGCATTCATCCCCGAGGCTACGCCATACACCAGCCCAGCCAGGCGGGCTGCATATGTATACTCTTTTAAATCATCCTTCAGTAACCTGAAGAACAGGAAGGTCATGTTGCAGTGTTGGGGGTCTGTGTATAGGTAGCGACTGATGGAAGGGGGGAAAAAAAGGACAAAAACAAAAATACATGTTTGTTGGGAATGTTGCGTTGACAAGAACTTAAATACAAGACAATGCAGGTTAGAGAGGAACGATATGAAGAGTATGTATATGCAGCCTCGTGACCAGCTTGATGTCCCGTAAACATTTTCACAACAGCTAAAATCACCATTTCAATCATGAACTACAAGTCATGGGTGGGACTCTGCCTCACCTGTGTTAACTACAGGTGTGCAAGATGGACATGACGATGATTCGGTCTGCCTGACAATGTCACAAAATGAAAGCCTCTTATAGTGGTGATGGTTTCGCAGGGAGGTGGGTGAGTGAACAAAGAAAGGGTTGATGAAGAATAAAGAGGAAGATGCGGACAGAGACAAGAGCAGCCAGGTCTGGATCAGAAGGTTTTAAAACTGTGTGTTTGGTTCACCAGATGTCTCAAATCAAATCTTGGGTTTTGATAATAAGGACAACAGACTGAATTATTTTCAGTCTGGTGCTACAGTTGGCTCACAGCCACCTGTCAGCACAGACCTGGCTGAGCCTCAGCAGTCCTGTCTTGAGGATGATAAAGGTTGAGACTTTGAGGTCCGACTGGGATGCAGCATTACGGCGACAGGGGAGGGAGGAGGGGGGGGATTTTGGATACTTACATACATCCCATAGACGGTATTTTGGAGGTCATAGTTCAAGCCAGCTAGCTCGGCTGCATATGCATACTCGTTGAGGGAGTCCTTGAGGAGCTCCAGGTATAAATATGCCATGTTACAATGCAATGGGTCCACATACGCAAACGGGCTGTAGAGAAAACGGCAGTGGTCAAACAACATAGGGACGCCTGTCTCATAATTTTCTCACCAATAACATGATTCTACTATAAAACAACAGCATTCACTTCAGTAATCAGGGGTGTGGCAGAGCAGGAGGTTTGGAGCTGACTGGTTGCAACCACTAAATCAAATAAATACACTCTTATTGGGTTATATTGTCTATTGTCCCCCAAGAAACAGTTTGAAGTGTTTTATCTATCAACTACAACCTGATCCAGATTATCTCAGTTTAGTGTCTTCTGCAGGGCAAACACTTAAAGGCAGGGTTGGTAATTTTAAAAACTAGCATGATTTTGAAAGTAGCATTCCCTCAGTGCTCCATCTACACCCACCCCCTCCCCTCTGTGCTCCCTCAAAGCCACGCCCCTCATCTACCTGCATGAGCGAGTGTGTAGAAACTACGTCGTCTCATGTCTTATTCAGCAGTAAGTAAACTCACAGTATAAACTCTTTGAGTGTGGGCTCGTGCACACAAGGGTTAGAGTACGAGCAGGGAGGCGTGTGATTGGAGAACAGAGAACATGAGTTATTAATTTCTGTCAGGACCTAAAGACAATTACAACCAAAATGGTTGTATCTGTGTAAAGTGTATCTGGAGAAAATTACCAACCCTGCCTTTAAGGGACTGCAGGTTAAATTTCATGTTTGGAAATTATATTATATCAAACTCTAAACTCATAAAGCAGGAAATTATTGAATTACCCAAACTGAGAGAATCTTACTTAGCTGTACTTCTTCTCGTTAGTGTTGTGAATTAAGAAAACATAAAAATGTAGGAGCTCTCTGCGTCTAGCTGGGGTAAACTGTAAAGTAACATCAAATGAAAACATAGTGTCCAAAGTTTCATCATCACTGACTCACCTGAAGAACTCGAAGTTCAGGCATGCCTTGGGCAGGAAAAACTTATCATCCTGTTTGAACCACACCTTGCTCATAGCAGTGTCCTAGAAAACACAAACACACACAGGAGGACTTCATCTTCATATTCATTATAATCCATTCTGATTAAAGATAATCGTCTGTAGTCCCTGGAAATCCTTGTAAAGGCAGAGGCTTACTTTGAATTTCAGTCTTTCATTTATAGAAACATAAAAGGCACATTTATTCAGCCTTTCCTTAAAGGAGTGGAAATATGTACTCTGTTGCTCTCTGATCCTGGCAGAACTAAAATCTTGTTTGCCTTATGATCATATGAAAAAATTAAAGAATTGTAAACAATATGCAGTTCAGCACATATGGTGCATTCCAGTTGATCTCGTTCGTGGGAAATTCCCAGTTCCCAGTCGGAATTGTCAACTGAAACGGCGTCTGAAGTCGTAGTTACGACTCGGAAACTCTGAGAAAAAAAAGTTCAGATCCACTATGGCTGCTACGTGCATCGAAAGGGATGTTTAAGATGCAACAGTTGAGTTTATTAGCAGCTTAGTCGTCTTTTTCTGTAATTAAATCAATCAGACCAATGGTATTGTGCAAGTTCTATCTGTGGAGGTGTTGTCATTGTTTTCGGTCAGAAAATATCACTTAGAGTGTTGTTATCGTCTGGTATTAGCTAACAAAACAAAAAGGTACTCCTGGACGCGTCCATGTTGCTTTTCCGACTTGCAACTGGAACGCAGTTTACTCGGGTGTGACATCATTCCCAGTCCTGACTTCCGAGGTAAATGGAACGGGGCATTATAGTCCTGTGCAGTCATGGACAAAGAGAGCAACAGAATGCTGATTGCAGAGCTCTGCAGCACGAACACTTGCCTTGATTAAAGTGGGGACTGATGGAGCGTCTTTCTCAAGAGGGTAGATCTCAAAGCTGGTGGGGATGAACTCGTTTTTCATGGGTAATTTGAACTTGCCGTTGAGGTCTGCACTCGCCCATTTCTGAAACACAAGACAGCAGACAGCCGTGATCACGCACTCATCAAAGCAGCAAAGACTCACAGCACGGTTTAAGTTTCTATAAGAGCACGGTGACAGCAGCGACTCACCTCGAGGGTCTCTTCAGAGATGGACTCCTGTTTGTACTGTGTGCCGTACCACTCCTCTGTCTTGTCTGTTTGTCCTTCAAATGACTTTGACACCACTGCAACTCTGGGAAAAGAAAAAGAAACAAGCTGGGTCAAATCACTTCTCTCTGAGAGCAGAAAATAGTTTATTTGTAATCACAAAATGAGATTTAAATTATTTTAGTAAGCAATGCGTCTTGATACAGTTTGCTACAAAAATCAGAATTTTAAACTTTGATGAAATACTAGTAAAACTCAACTGATCCACTTCCCCATTTAAATACCACATAAACAAAAATATAAATCCTAGGCGCCTAATATTGGATACATTCTTGTTTTGGACCATCGAAGAATTCAAGGAACATTCTGCACAATGTCTAAATTGCACAAATACATTGGCGATATTTTGGCACAGAAACAAAACTTGAGCAGGAAGTGACACTCCTTGGACCTCTAATTACAATAAAGTTGCTGATGATACACACAGGCACGTTTATAATGTAGCCATACTCTCTGTAACTTCATTCACAGCTGCTAGAAAAAGATTAATACATAACGGGGCACAGTCGGGCTGGAAGAGTAGAACTGGCAGAACTTCAAGGTTAACCATCCACTTCAGTAGAGGAGGAAACTGGCACTCCGTCTGTCAGGGTCAGCCAATGAGTGCATGCAATCTCCTCTGTTGTAAGCATTAAGGAATGGACCAATTACAAGTCTGCACTCTGCTTGACACTTCCAATAAAATTAAGTGGTGGTAAAGCTGCACGTGGCAAAGTTTCAGAGCCAAAGAGGGGCTTCGGGGAGACGTAACTCTTGTAGGAATCCATTTGTCACAAAGGAGGTTAAGGTTGTCACGATAACAGATTTTTAACTTTGACACGATACTAGTTCAAACAATATCGATACCTGTTTTGATTCCAATGCAACAAAGATACAAGTCCTAGGCATTCAACACTGGGTTGTTTCACATTTTTAATTTCCCAACAATTGCTTTCTGCACCAAAATGTTGCCATTGTATTTTTACAATTAAGACATCTGCTCTCTGTCTGTTTTTATCTACCCTATTAGCCCCCACATCAGGATAGGTAGTATAGGCGTTGTCACTACCTGGTTAGCTAACCAGAGCCTGGGTCTATTGAAGAGGGCAATGCTGGTCTGGTTGAAAAGTCAACTAAGTTCCTTGTGAAGGTTATGTAATGTATCAGTAGGGCATTGGGGCATAATTGGGATGAGGGGTTTCTTCACTGGGTTAGGGTTACCTACTCTTTTATCAGAGAACAAGTATCTTGTGTTTATTTCAAATAGGAGACAAAAACACAACTTGGCTGCCAAAAGCACTCGAGAAACATCTGTAGATCATTTTAAAAATAGAGATCATATCATTGTAAAACATGTGGTGTTGGAAAAACGACCCAAGTATTGGATATTTTGACAACCGGCACAGGAGGTTTTGTTGACAAAAACAGAAAAAAAGTTTAAAAAGGGTCTATAGAGTTTCACTTGATTCTCTACAGTTGGTTTAGTGATTCATCAGCTGCAGTTTAAGTAAGTTCAACTTCCATGACTGTAAGTGCATGAAAGTTACACAAGTTATTCTGAACATAAGGAGACACCGATGTCATCATGAAACATGTCACACCGACCTGACGTGTTCTGGTCTCAGTTTATCCAGAACCATCTCAATCAGATCTGGCCTGAAGTCCTCCAAAAGGTACTCTGCAGCTAAAATCTCTTCTAGAGGGTAGTACTGAAACACACAAAGAAAGAAGCTGTTAGTACCGTGACAACTAAGAATGTGAGAACTATGTGATCCTTGTTTTATGTTCCTAGGCTGCAATAAATGTGACACTGTCCTTTATCAGAATAAAATGTTTGTTAAAGCGCTCAATTCTAATCCAAAGTTGAATCACTGAATTTAAGCCTCCTTACTATAGAGACGATCAGAATTACACCTAATGACTCATTTTACAAGGTGACAACAATAAATGTCACACAAGTGTAAAAAAATGTGAAATGACTAAAAGAATAACACAATGTATGTCTGTGATTTTCAGCATTCTCCGTTGGCTGCACAGGTCACATAAGAACTGTGGTAAGAATAAAAGTCTAGCCTATTTCTTGATCGACTGTCCCTCTGCAAAATCTCCAGACTCTTTATCCAGAGTCAACAGCAGCAGACAGCCTGATGACGACAGCAGCCACAGACGCAATGAGCTGCATCGAGTCTCCCTGGAAACAACCTTTGCAGATGGGGAGGGGACTTACGTGTAGCAAACCGGCCACTTTGGAGGTGTAGCCGCGGGGTCGCTCCTTGTCCTTGAACCTGAAGGCCACTTTGTTCAAATCCTACAAAGACGGACAGAGATGGAGAGGGTGTAACAAGTGAAAACACAGAATAATATGCAGATTCAATTCTGTCATTCTACAAATAACCATTTTCATATATAGACTTATAGTGTAGCATAGAATATCTATTTTCTGTGGGCGGCTGTGGCTCAGTCGGTATGCAGTTGTCTGTCAAACGGAAGGTCAGGGCTTCAATCAGTAAACATGTCCGATGTGTCTTTGGGCAAGACACTTCACCCCAAGTTGCTCCAGCTGCTTCATTGGTGACGTATGAATGTGTAACTAAAAAAAAAGTGCTATACAAGCTGAAGTCCATTTACCATTAACATTTGTTAAAACGGGTAAAACGACACAATCTCCAGAATCTTAATGATTGATGGTATCGAAAAGTAAAATCGAACGAAGAACTTCAGGTCCTCAGTCGTATTTTTTACTTAAAGCAGCCGCAAGCTATAAAAAAAAAAAAAAAAAAGAGCATCGTCTAAAATGCCTGTCTGGCATTGTGTGCATGTGGAGCTCGCTCGCACTTCATCAACGCAGTAAAGCAATGTGAATTTACAGATTGGGACGCCAACATTACGCTTGAGGCGAAACGACGGCAGATTGTTACAGTGCTGTTGCAGAATTGCACTTTGAAAAGGACTTTTGTCTACATTTTTTGGTAGTTAAAAACAAGAAATGACTTTTTACTGGGTGCCGAAGACTTGTATTTCAGTTGCCATGGTATCAAAACAGGCACTGATACAGTTTGATTTCATATTGAAGTCTACAAATCTGATGTCTTGACAACCCTACTGTGCTCCTTTATTAGTTCATCCACTGGGCAGGCAGAAGTGGGTCAGGTTTATCTCTCTGCTCGGTCTGAACAGACAACAATAATTACCTTGCACTCCTCAAACACCCACGCCTGAGGTCCCTCAGTACGCAGCTTCTGGATGTACTGGAACATGTGGAAGATGATGTCCTCTACGTGCACTGCAGAGGCGAAAGTCTCAATGAACATGATTTGCATTCCATTTCCTTACACAAAGGAACAGTAAGAGGCAAAGCACGTCAGTATATGTGGAACAAACTGATGTAATCAGCGGCACTACTTACAGAGGCCCTCCTCAGTCAAATCCACATTTATGATAAAGAACATGAATCCTCTGGCTCCTTCTTTCTGCCCTCCAACAAGAGTGTTCACCCAGCCTACAGATCAAAAATCATCATTTTAATTAAACTGTTAGAATTTCAGATTTATTATTTTTGACACCTCAAAATGTTTTAAAAAAGACGAACATGTTGGAGCTACCTTTAGATTTCAGCTCTGATAACAAACTTCCCGGCCCCTCGTGACCGATCAGATGCCCTAGATAATGTCCGGGGTTAGATTTGTAGTACTTCTGAAGGTCTGGGATTGGGAAAGTCACATACAGGTTCCTGATGTCTTTAATGGGCACCACTTTGTAGAATTGCTGTAAAGAAAGATAAAACATATGTGATGTGTCATGTTTGTCAAGAAAAGTCCTTCATATGATATACGACACAAAACAGTGTATAAATAAGGAGTGGAAAAATATTAGCTATTGTCCTACTGTCTAAATGCAAAAATGTGCTGATTGTGGGTAAAAAAAAAAGAAAAAAGAAGTATATTACTCTGAGGTGTTCCTCCTGGAAGGGGTGCTCGGGGAATTCTGGGATAGGCACGTTCTTGTTCTCTACTTCTCCAAAAAGCTTCACCACCATGGAGGCCAGCTCGTCTAATGATTCTGTGTGGGAAAATGGAAAAAAAAAAAAAATGGAGTAATACAAAAAGATGCAGGAAAAGTAAAAACTGCAGAAAAAAGGTCCGCACACTGTTCAGCTCTGAATGAGCTATTGTATTTTACCAGGGCAACGTTTCAATTCGCTTTGATATACTTATGAGTTAAATGACCATACAGCTGACTTTTTAAAAAGGAGCCATTAATCATGCTGGGCTCTTCTGGTCAGCACTTCTGTCAAACTGTATGTCTTACAATTGACCCTTCGCTAAACCCCCTCACCAAACAGCGTTTTTCCAGCCAAATCCATAGCAACTGTAACTAGGCACAGCAGGTCAGTCGAGCTCTGCATTTCACTGAGGTGCAGTGTACCGATTAGGCTTTGAGAGGGACATTCTGCATTTCAAGATTTTTTTAAAGGTGTCTTTTTGTCCTCAAAAAAACTAAAAAGCAAAGGTGACAAATGTATAAAAGAATATGTTTATCTGCTCGTGCATAAGCTGCGATAGTTAACATTACAGGCCAAATATCTTACTAATTACATTATGAAAACAGTGCTTTAAGTTTCAATTAAAAGCTCCATTAAAAACCAACACATATACTGCCTTTGTATTTCCATGCTGAGTGAAAGTTGTTCTTATATGGATTTAAGTGATTGCTTTAGATCAGACGCTCTGTCTTGATTTGATTTGCAGACATTTCACTTCATTAACTCCAGCAAATGTAATTAAAAATAACCGTACGTATGCCAAAGCTGTAAGTTCTGCCATAAGCAGTCTTAAAAGCAGCATGCAAAATCGATGTCTGTTGGCTAGAAACAAAATGGTAAATGGACTTGAGCTTGTATAGAGCTTTTTACTCAAAGCGCTTTTACACCACAAGTCACACCTACACATTCACACACTGATGGTAGAGGCTGCTGTGTAGTGAGACAATCAGAAGTTACTAATACCATTCATACACATTCATAAACCACTGATGTTTCAGCGGGAGCAATTTGGGGTCTTGCCCAAAGACACATCGGACGTGTTGCTACAGGAGCAAGGGATCGAACCCCTGACCTTCCAGGTGAGAGACAACTGACTCTACCCACTGAACCACAGCCGCCCCGAATGAGAGGCCAGCTTCTGTGTACTTCTGCTAAATGGTACATTTATTAAGTTATCATATAGTACATAAAGATCATTATAAGGAAAAGCTAGACAAATGCAGAAACAAAGAGGGTGAGGACAAAGTGAAGGGGCAAATTAGATGAGAAAGTTCTGCAAAATGTACAATTCTGTTGGTGCTGATGATACCAATGGCACTTGTTTTTTTAGTAAGAAGAAGCTCTGAATTTGAAGAACGAAATATAAAAACTTTGTGGTTTATAAAATCCTAAACATTGAACAAAAACCTGTTAAATGTCATCTCAAGTTAAACAAACTCTTAATTTTAATAAATCATGACCAATCATTCTGGGATGTTTTCGTTCTTAAAGACCTTGAAGTGTGTGGCAAATCCATTTTTATCTGTGTATTTTCAACTTTAGTGTATTTGTTATCCAACTGTTCATCAACTTAGGGGCCACAGAGGACAAAACAGGAAGAGGTTCCTGATGATCTTTTACCACAAAGGAAGCAAAGGATTTCAGAGTTTCTCAAAGTTAGAGAGAATAAGATTGAAAGTAGTACAATGACAAAAGTAGGAAGGGGTTAATAAGAAAGAAATCCCCTCCGCCATGTAAGGAAACTTGTAAAACTAGACTGAGAGGGTGACGGGTTTAAAATAATTCTAGATGTGTGTTCCTTCCTAAAAACCAAACCGGGAATGCAAATTAACCATGGCTAAGAGTCCTTAAACATAGCATCAGTTGCACTTTAATTAGATGTAACAATGCCTGCATGTATTGTCCCCAAATAAACTGCTAAATAAATTAAACATATTAATTAAGATATACTGTATCTGGCGATGGGTGGAAGCTGCTTTGAATTGTCTCCTTTTCCTGTTGTGGTAATAAAAGCAAGATAAACTATGACAGTTGATTTGACAGTGATGTGTTGCATTGCAGTTTGCAGATTAAACTTGAGACATAATTTCTACAGAAATGAAAATAAAGCCAGATCTGCATGTTTCTTTGGCTGACATTAGGCATTGACAGTTCAAGGTGTTAAATCATAGAAGTGCCTCCGAGGCAGAGTGGGGTTTGTGAACATGTAAACGTCATGTTACCTCTTCCTAACACACACAGTCCCATCAGGTTGGATGAGTAGAATGTAGAATGAAACTTCAGGAGCTCCTGGCGGATATCGATGCCATCTTTGGACGGTCGGGTCTCCAGGGTCAGTTTGTTACCTACAAGAAAAACAACACATTGAATTGTTAACGTTTGCATTTAAAATCATTCCATAACTTCTACATGACAAAGTACATTTTCAATGAGCTCTCCGTTAAAGTTTCTAAATTAAATTTACAACCCTACCAATTAATCGGCCAGTATAAGCTTAACTTTATCGCAGATATCCGCCGATATTACTTTATTTATAAAGCTGATCTTTTATCATTCATCATTTCATCCCATCAGACATTTATAGTATATTCTGTCACAGTAACAGTTTGTGTATAAAACCACGCCTCCTGCTATGGCTTCACACTGAATAGAGGCTCAAAATACCTCAAATCCTTCAGGTCATCTAACTTGTCTTACGGCACTAACCACGTTTGTTTGAATCATTGCATTCACAAATAAGAGCTGCACCGTGTAGATGATAATTAGACCAATAAAAATTACTGCAAAGGGTGGAACAAAGACTGTTCTTCTTTTTAGAAAACAAAGGCTGCAACCACAGAGGAACGTCAGTGAGTCATAAATATTCAGCGTCCTAAAATAGAAAACTCTGGGAATCATTATTCTGAGAACTGTTTTAAAATCATTTTAAGATGGTAGAGTGACATGAGTCTCTCAGATCTGTTGATAAGCTGGCTGCCAGTCATATTTCAAATACAACTGCAAGCTACTGAGACGCACTAAAAACAGGGCAACAAACGATTAAGAAAGATCCAGTTGGTTCACTAAGAGTTCATGACATTCAGACCTGACTGATCCTCTTCTGCTCTTAACAGGAATAAAGATTATAAAATTCAAGACTGCCATCAGGTGGCTATTCTGAGCTGGAAGCTGCTCCGAGTTTGTCAATCTGATCTGGGAATTCACTCAGAGCAAACGACCTTCACGCTACAAGATGCTTACACTCAACGGTTTAATGTCAGAGGAGAGTATATTCATGGATATGTTAGGGGGTGTCAATTGTGTCATACATGTCACAGAAATAAAATAGTGTGTTCGTAGGTCAAGGTCACACTCATTATAGACAATAAATCACTTATGGAGAGGCAGAGTGAGGAACTTCTGCAGCCTGATATCTCTCAATAATTCCTTTGATTTCAATATTCAATCCTAAAATTCTGCAATGGAAATGTTCAGATTTATGATGTGAATGAGCATCTCTCAAAGTTGTTTGGATGATTTCATCTCCACTAAAAACTACGCTGCCTAAATTGGTATTTATGCTTGTTGTGATGTCATTTTTGGAGCATCACCAAATGTTTAACTCCTTTTATATCTGTAAAATCTAACTAAATAAAGGAAAAGCCATCAAGGAATAAAAGAAGAGCCAGAAGACAAAGCCTTCCCCTGTAGCTTCAAACTAAAAGAATGCTTTCTCTTTTATAGGAAATAGATTTTTTTTTTTAAAGGTTTATACAAAAACAATCACATACAAACATGCCGTTATTATAGAGTTGACCTGTTAAACCAGAGACGTTGATATTTTAAATATTTTGGGTAGTTTTTTCAACACTGTATATTCAGTGCAATGTACGATCCATGTATTTAAATATACACAAATCTAAACTTGAATGCAAACAGGCCAACAGACTGGTGCAACATATGCACAATTATATCATCTGCCTTACACAGGATACTTTAGTTTAAATAGGAAGTGTTTGAATGCATACCGTTTCATTTGTGTTCAGTGAGAGATCAATCAGAAGGAGCTCAGAATGCCTCATAGTTCAACGTACAATTGAATTGACTATTTTGTTTTCTACCTGTTCCGAATTTACTGAAGGGGTGGTTCGGATTGCCTGTTGCCTTCTCCAACTGAAACAGCCTCCAGGCGTCATTCATCAGGTTCTTCTCGTGTTCAGAGTCCACAGCGTTCACCTCCCGGTCCTTGCAGCTCTCATCGAACAGTGGGCACAGGAAGAACTGGGAAAACCTACAGCAGAGCAAACATTCAACTGCATGGTTCAGTAAAATTAAGAGTGATTGTTCAGATGTGTGATGATAATACTTTTCAGTGTATGGTTGTGTAATTTAAACGTTTAAAGATGAGGTTTTTGCTCTTCTGAGTTGAATGTACTGTAGACTGTTGGTGTTTTGCACAGTTTGTAGACACAATGGAAAGCAGGAGACTGAACATGATGCACATTTGCATGGGAGCAAAAGAAGAGCAACTGCCATGCAAATGAGAAAACCTAACATCTGGATGCTTTTCAAGCTACTCCTTAGCTTAGACTCTGCTTCAGATTTATGCAACTGAAGTCTATTATTATTACAATTCCTGTGTGTCTGTCTGTGCTGCCACTGCCAAGAGCAGCTCACACTGTTTCTCGTTGTTTTTATAGCAATGACAATAAAGATCTACTCTATTCTGTCTGTTCTAAAATCCCTATTGAAGCAAACTAAAACGGTCCCATCAGCTGATTCTTAAGATCAATAAAACATTCTTGTAAAACAATCACACCCCAATCCTTGCACTGATTTATGTATTCAGACACCCATAAGGGCTACAGAACATCAATCTTTTCTCCTTGATCTTAACTTCAAATAAAATGTTAGATAAAGTGTAATTCTGATAATTATAGCAACGGTATGTTTAAAAAAAATAAAAACAATAGGGCCAGCTAACGACACACACGATCCTTTCAGACACCATGCCCCTTTCTAAGAGGAGACATCATCAATATTTCAGCGACTCTGCGCTGCACTGTCCTTTCCCACCACAACAGTCCAGATGGCCTTAACAATTCACTGGTGCAGGGGAACAGTCAGCCTATGACTTGTAAACAGGTGCATGCTGGACATCATTCATTTATAAAGAAGGTAAGCTGACACCACCTGACTGCCCCAAAACCAGCACAACTGACACATGAGGAGACCCCCTGCAGTGCTGGGGACATCAGCCTCACCCTGGGGTGGGGGGGTAGGAACTATGTAGATCGTTACAAAGAGTGGGCACAATGAGGTTGGGTCTGGTAACCAAAGGCTGACAGACAAGGACCTGGCAGCTCATCAGGATTAACACCTGGACTCCCAAGGGGCCGGTTGTGTACTGACAACTAGACAACCACTTAGGAAGAGAGATGACATCAGTCTTAACTGGTGAATTATATAATATACAGCCTTGAAAATGAAATGAGCTTTGTCTGACAAAGACCTGGACAACATGTCAGGGGTAATAAGAACATGATAAGATGAACATGAGATATGGACGTTTAAGGACAGAGTAAAATAATAAGTACCTATCTAGTGCTCCTTCCAAGTGCTCATGGGAAACATCGAAGTAATAGTTTGTATGCTCTCCACTGGTGAAGGCGTTGGAGCTGCCCGCATGCTCACTGAGGAACTGGCTGTACTCGTTCTCCTTGGGGTACTTCTTTGTTCCCAGGAAGAGCATGTGTTCACAAAAGTGTGCCAGGCCCGAGATGTTTCCTGGGTCTGATAATGAACCTGTGAAATGAAGAAAACACAGAAACTCAGTTGATGAAGCTGTAGCTCTGTGCTCACTGGAGTTCACAGATACTGAGCCACGTTGGACAGAAAAAGAACAAAGGTTTCATATACACACAGAGAACAACACAGGAAAACCTTCATTATATGAATCAAATGATTAAGAGAAATTTCTACTAAAAAGGGACCTGATCAAGATACAAGCATGGTCAAATTTTCTGGATCATTATCTTTAGCTCTGTATGAAACCATTGTTTCTTCTTCATGTCTTTACATTCAGAATACTGTCTATAAAATCATAAAGGATCCTTTGCACATCTTTCTACTCGTGTTGTAAGTTTAATTGCTCGTTCGTAGCTACATGACAAGGTAATGATGACGAAAAGCTTTACCTATTTGGACATCCAAAGCAGCGGAGGATTTGTCTGTAGTGGGGTCACTTATGAGAATGGCCCTCAGGCCATTGGTAAACTCAAGACCCCTGTAAACCCGTTTGTCCTCTGGGGAGCGAATGATCTCGCTGACCACCCTCTGCACAGCTGGGTCGGTCATTCTGAGAGGCAAGGATGACACAAGCCTGCAATGGAGGGAAATGTTAGTAAGTACAGTTAGCGAAGAGGTATGCCTTCATTGTGACGTTTACATTCGTAATTTGACTCAACAACTCTGAGGAGATCTGAGTTAGAGATTATATAATGAATTCCTTGTAAGCAAGAAAAAAAATCTTCCGAAAAAAGTGTCCTGACTCTGAATTGAGACTTTCACTGAAAAAAGGTGTACTTGGATCCAGAGCAAGTTTTATTGGCTTAATCATCTACTTCAGAGATGGTTAGTTCTCTGACATGTTAAAAACCAACAAACCTTTAAGGAACTATTACAACAACTTTGTGTTGCTACTATGCTTTGATGGTAATTCACAAGCACTTCATAACGATCATATGAATGTCTATGACTAAGTCGTCTTGTTATGGTGTGCAGTATGACATCAAGTTTGACAGTAAGAAGAGCGCCATCATGATGGTAAAAACCGAAGATGATCAGATACAATTTCCTCCATTCTTTATTTAAGATCAAGTTCTTAGATTTGTTAATTGAAGTGAAACATCCAGGTCACGTCATCCAGATTGATTTGAGCGATTATGTGACTATAAGGATTTTATCCCTTTATCCAAGTTCATCTGTGGCAGTGTAATGTTGTCTATGTGTTTCGTTTTATCACAATATGGACCTATAGACAAGGTGGATCTCTCCATGACTTGTACACCTCAAGTACCATGAAGCATGCAGGCGTCCCCTCTCACCCCAGACACTGGACTATTCGTGACCCCCCCCCTCCCTCTGGTAAAAGACTGCGGTCCATCAGGACCAAAACCTCATTACCTAAGAACAGTTTCTTCCCCTTTGCTGAAGCCACTTTAATCATGAGCCTGTCAGTCTGCCCACATTACACAGACTCTCATCCAGTCACTGAACATCTCAGTCTTTAAGGCTGAAACAGATTTTATGTGTTACATTATCTCACACTGGAGTATTTTCTGTTCATGTGTGTAAATGTTTAATCTCTGTACAGCTTTTAATCTATGATATATGTTTATAATATGTTATTCAGTTCCCTGTTTCATAGCCTTCTGCTGTTTTCACTTCTTCGACAACAAGATATTTCTTTGAAAATGTAAAACTGATTCTGTGTGTCTGAAATAAAACATTATAATAAGGTGAAGTACATGACAAAGGGTAACTGAATAGACTTCAAAGTCAGTTTAAATAAACTATGAATAATCACATTTAATGGATAAAGTAAAATAATAACTTCTTCTCTCGTTAGATAATAAGTCGTTAGCTAAATGCTAAATTAGCATCTAAAGGTCCATAAATGTGTACAAAGGTCCGGGTTCGTTGGTCTCATTGTGAGCCATATAGTTTCCACCCCGGTGTTGTAAAGTGTGTAAGTGTCCGTCAGCTCTGCACTCTTTGTATTAAAGCTTTCACTTTAAGTAGCATCAAAGCTAACAGTGCCGGGCTAGCTTCATTTAGCTAGGTCAACAAACCGGCTAACGTTAGTTAACCGGCCGAGTATTATCAACTTAATCATTTTAAACAAACAGTTACAACATTTGTCTGGCAGCACTTACCTAAAGTTTTGGTTGAAAGTGAAACCACCGCCTGCTGCCTGTAGATATCTGGTGAACTGGGCCGGTCGGTTAATGCACTTTAACATACTTTGAACCCATGGAAAACAAACCTCGGCTTTTACAGCGCCATCTTGGAAAAGACAAAACCAGTCGAGCACAGAGTAGCGTTTCTTTCTCACGGTAGGTTTATAAACATCAGTATTGGATACACGAGTCCTAAACCATGGCTATCGATAAGACAGCAAGTGTGATATGCATACGGTTAAATTTATATAATATTCCTAAAAGATATGTGGTGTATTTTTTAAAGTCTATGGGCGTCATTGAGTCTGATATCGACTTGATACTCTGGGCTGGGATTTCTGAATACGTCACAGTCTATGGTTCAGCGTAGTATCGGATCGTGTGTCAAGTTACGCCTCTTTTTTATTTATTTATTTAAGATAAAGTGACAGCACAAATAACAGAATACCACAAAGACAAATAAACAATAAAGAAAATAAACATCTACACAACTATATACACAAGGGTTTCATTTCTATTTTTAATTGCTGTATTTTAGGCTTTTTTTAATTCCATTTGTGGATGTAATATTTCCCATGCAAAATTAATAAATTCAAGATGAATATGTGTTTGATAGTCTGTTCCACTCTTATCGTAGGAATTTGTAACCTTTCTTTCAATTTAACAGTTAAACCAGTCTGTGCTTTAAAGAAAAGCTTAACATCTTTTATTAAACTTTGAATGTTCAAAGAAATTGTTCTACATAAAACGTGGATGTTTTTACAAGTCAACTCAACACTGGTTTTATGGATTAAAAACTTTCTAAAGGACAGACCACAACATGTCACAGTCAATGGTTTTAAATCAAGTGGTATTGTTTTAAATACTGGGGTACCACAGGGCTGTGACTTGTCACCGGTCCTCTTCTCCATATACACAAATGACATAAACCTGTGATGACAATTGACTGACTCTGCTTAAATATGCTGATGACATGGCTTTGGTAGCCTGTCTGACAGATGAGTGTTCCCTGTCCACATACAGACAGCAGGTAAACACCATGGCCCTTAAGAACAGCTCCCTGGAGCTTAACATCACTAAAGGCGCAGTCACACTGGTCATCTGCACCGTGCTGTACCCAAGCACGATTGAATCAGTCCTCACATTTAACATTATATCCTGGTACAACTTTCTCACCAAGTAATGCAAGAAAAAACTTACTAGTATCATTAAACAAAAATCACCGGCACCACCCAGATCCAACTCTCAGAACTCTACATGCGAGCAGCAGAAAGGAAAGCGGTCTGCATCACTCAGGACCCTTCACACCCCCTTCTCCACTTGTTTCAGCTGCTCCCCTCAGGCACTCGTTTTAGAGTACCACTGGTGAAAAAGAAAACTTACAGAAACTATTTTATTCCCACTGCAATACGCATTTTAAACAAAGCTAAATAAGGAATGTGTGCAAAAGGTCCCCCACTTTCATAGTTTCAGTGAAGACACTCTAATTCCCATCACTCCATCTGTTCATGAACAGCCCATGCCTGTTCATCTGCACCTATCACTGACCTCAGACCACCTAATTACACCTCACAGAGAGGACTACTGCACCCCTCAACTCGGTTCTCTGGACTTCTGTTTATCCTTTTATCTTCTGTGCCTCCATGAGACTGTAAGTTCATGCATATTATAGTTCTCCAGTAAACGTCATGTTGTTGTTCTTCCTAATTTGTGGTCGGTGCTGCTATCACGTTTCTAACACATTTAGCAAGACTGTTAGGCTATATCGCGACGGACATTTCCTCACTCATTTCACGTTTGTTACTGTTGTAATCGATGCTGTGTTTTGTATAATGTTTTCTATACTTTCTTTACATTGTGCCATCGGAGTGTATTTGTTTCCAGTCGGCTCTCTGTTTGCTAACACTCACGTGTAGTAAGGGACCGTCCTTCAATTCATGAGCAGTGTTGCCAGATCTCGCGAGAGAAACAAGCAACCAGCTATTTGGAAACAAGCCCAAAACAAGCGACCTGGCTCCTCAAATAAATAAAATGAAGCCAAAACAGGTTACCTAACCTACCACATAGTGTAAAAGAGAAGCAACTTGATAGCAGTATATCTATCTATATATATATATCTATATATATATCTATATATATATCTATATATATATATATATATTGATTTAAAAAAAAAAAAAATTGTGCTTTTGGGTGCCAGCATCATCAGCATGCTGTATTAAGGTCAGATCTCTTTCTCCCACTGTTTATTATATTTTTTCCATATTTCCCCTATTCCCGAGCATTGTCGCTCTGTCGCTCTGTCAGATGTAGGCGTGCGTGCGTGCGTGCGTGCGTGCGTGATGTGGATTTCCTTGTTGTTGATATGTTTGATGATGAAGAAATTCGCTGTTGAGACTGACTTGCTTTCAAAGAGTATAATTTTATTTAAGCAAGAAACAGAGTCACTGGTCACGTCTGACCAGGAGGATCAAGAAGCCAATAATGATCTCTCTTGAACACACAGAGACAATTGCTTATATGCATCTAAACATCTGCTTTTCGTCATGGGTCATAAAAACATCAAGTAACACATCCATATATGGCAATACTCCTATACAACACCTCAATGTAAACATTTCACCTGAGGGGACTCCTAAATCTCCTTCAGATACTATCTCCAGACGCGCCCATTGTAAACTTATATTATCTCTGTCCTGGTTACATCAGACACTTCATAGTCTCCCCGAGCAAACGAGAGAAATTATACAATTATGATGTTACTTAGCCTCATACGAATCACTTCTGTCCATGCTTAACCTTAGCAATATAGTAAAATTTTTATTTGTGGAGTGTGAGAGCGAAAAACCCATCAGGCAGCTATCTTTCTTTATCATCCATCAAACAATCTAGACAGGAAAACTCTCTCACGGTCCCTCTGCCCCAGGCAACCACCTATAGTACTCCAAACCAATTAAAAAGAAAAGGGTTATGAAAACTTTATAGGACGATATATAAATGCACACATTCAAAACCTCAGAAATAAAATCTAAAAATTGTCCAAAGTCAGGCTGGTCGACCCATCGCACCTTCCAATGGACCTCTCCCTACCTAACACCACTTTCCCTAAGGATCGATAAAGAAAGAAAACACCTGAGGTCCCAATATATGCATCTTATACAGTTCCAGAAAAATATGTCTTGCTAAAAATATCTACTATAAAGTAAAATATTTATCAACAATACAAGTTACATTGTAATAAACCTTCAATGATTTTTCAATCAAAACCCCTCATCATGATGTCTTCATTCAGGTTTCCGTTGTCCATTTCCATCCTCCATTTTCTTAAATTTGGTTGTTTCAACTCCATTAATCTGGAAGGATTTCTGGACAATCAGCCACCCTCACATTGGTCTCCCAAATATCATCCTGGGAAGAAAAATCAACAGCCAGTATCTTTGTACATACAAAACATCAAAAATATTAATTTTTGTATCATACTTTCACATTATTCCACTACATGATTAACATATTCAATTCCCCCTTTTATCAATTCACTTCCAGTTCAAAATAATAGTGAGTCAATGATGAATTCAGATATTCAAAAATGGATATTTCTCTCCAATCTCTATGACCTCCTCACCTTCACTTAGGTCATTACCACTCAGTAGCGGCATCTGAATGTTTTCTCCTGGCATCACAACTCCTACCCATCTCAATGTCATAGCCTTAGCAAAGGTCAACAACAGCGTACAAAAACAAAACATCACACCAAAATCTGAACCACTATAGCTCCTACTGGTCCTAATTGGTCTTGTAACCAGGTATTCGCAGACCATCCCGCTCTTTCTGATGGACCAAATGAATCCCTAATTAGTTTCAAAGCATCTATGACACTAGTCATATTGTCAGCGGCATCAGGAATCAAAGTGTAACAGGCGTCTCCGGTTAGATTCAAAGCTACACAGAGGCCACCTTGTTTGGCCAAAATGTAATCAAGAGCCATGTCATGTTTCAGCAACGTCAATCGATGACTCCTCTGAGTATTTGACAAATATTCAAAACCTTTTATGGTCTCGTTTGCAAAATCTTGCAGGGTATATGTAATATTATCAATATGATCAGCTAAGTATGTAACACCATACCATGGAAACAATCCTATTCCCCATTTCTCTCCCAAACTTATCCTCCAATGATAAGACTCCAAGTTGTGAAATTGTGCCAAATCTCTTTTCTTTCTACTGCCAGAGATTGTTGTAGAGTTACCCTCATCAGACCCTTGTCCCTTCTGAATAACAAAAACATCATACGGAAGTTTCAACTGTGCCATATAACAACATCCAATCATAAGGTAAAAATAAGTATGCCTTATCGCCACAAATCCACCAGATATCTTTAAATGTTCCTATGGTAAAATTACCCGGTAAAGTTTGATTCTTTACACTTAGAGTTTTACTCAGTCGGCGATGTGGTGCATGAAAGGTCACTGTATACATGTCATCAATAGCCCTTTGATCACGTCGTCCAAATTGCATCATATAGTTATCACATTCTGATATTCCCATAAACATAGCATCTCCACCATGAGTACCATTTGAACAAAAACAAGATTTAACCTTCACAGGTGTCACTTCCATAGGATCAGGGACTGCTGTCGTAATATCTTCATACTGATAAAGGAGATTTATATATGATAAGTTCTTCAACCAAGCACAATTCCGTTGAGGTGTAAATAGATGCACCGACACGGCCATCCAATAATCATTTGGTGCTTGTTGCTTAAATACCAACCACGATAGCGCATAATTTTGACATTTAGAAGTTAAAGGTTCTGGTACCGTCTCTAGAATTGAAGGCCATGTGCCTGGTGCTGGAACTCTCACGACACATGGACCACTCAAATTACTAGCCAATCTAACAGAGTGAGTCAACTGTTGGTACCACATATTTCTACTTGCCCACGGGTCTGCAATTTGCAACACCGAGGAATCAAACCCATAAGCTTTCCATTGGGTTTCACGCTTCTCTAATGCATGAAGATGTTTAGTCATGACTTCTGATGTCCCGTCAGCATCTACAAAATCATCAATCAGATTCGACATAGTCATCTGAATTGTTTCAGCTGCCTTAACTAATGTAGATGTAGCAACAGATGTCAACATCATACCTACAGACTTTGTAGACACCGAAGAACTCATCATTGTTTCGTTGATAGTAGATC